CAGCAAGGAACAAGAGAAACTGTTCTGCCCTCACAGTGCTGACATGACAGCAGGAGGTACAGAGCTGATCGCTAGCTATGAAATGATTTAATTGCAACTGGGATAGGTGCTACAAAAGGTGCAAGGCGGTGGGAGGAGGTGGGCAGGGAGCACTTCTCTGCGGAAGCCATGTTTGGAGTGAAATCCGCAGGATAAATAGGAATTCACTGTGTGAAGTGGAAGAACCTTCCAGGGAGAAACAACAGCGTAAGCAGGAGAGCAGGGCGAATGGGACCTGCAGGACACAAGGCCAGCTGCACAGTGACGAAGGAGTCCAGGTATGACATCTTGGTGGCTTACACAAAGGTGGGTTTGTGGACAGAGAAGAAGACTACAGATTCCTGGCTGAGGCAACTAGGTGGATGGCTGTACCAGTTACTGAGAAGACATGGGAAAAGGATCATGAATCAAGCGATGTTCAGGTTGAGATGCCAGTGAAATATGTCAGTGGCCATGTGAAGGAGATGGGTGGGTCCCCGGAGACACAGCTGGATCACATCCCATTCCTGATTACACTGTCAGACACGAACCACAACATGGGTCAAATGCGGGCTTACGTTCACTCCAATGTCAAGCTTAGAATGCAATTCAGAGTTGTGCATTTCAAATGCAAGTCCTTGCTGAGTTGGCAAAAAGTACACAGCCCTTTTTCTTCTGAATCTTTTAAAATGGGCACCTGAATAACCAACCTTTCACCCTTCACTCTGCTCATCATTCCATTCCATCCTTCTTTGTGCTCAAACTTAACAGCAAACTGTAAACTTAGGATTTTGTAGCTCAAAAAGAACTTTCAAAGTTCAGGTACTACTTTTAAAAAAAGATTTATTTATTTGAAAGGCAGAGTTAGAGAGAGCAAGAGAGCGAGACAGAGAGAGAGCTTCCATCCACTGGTTCATTCCTCAAACGGTCATGAAGACCAGGTCTGGGCCAGGATGAAGTCAGGAGCCAGGAACTCAATGCAGGTACTTGTGCCATCTTCCACTGCTTTCCCAGACACATTAGCAAGGAGCTGGATTAGAAGTGAAGCAGCTGGGACTTGAACAAGGGCTCATACAGAATGCCGGCACTGCAGGTAGTGGCTTCACCTGCTGCACCACAATGCCAGCTGGTCAGTTATTACTCTTTCAATTTCCTGAATAACATTTACCGGATTTTTTTTTTTTTTGGGTATATATGTTCCATTTTGGACAGACAAAACAGAATCCTTATATTTCATATAACTTACTTAAAAGGTAAGGTGATGACCAGACTTCTTCACAAAAAATTCAGACACAGGTAACATATTTGCCTAGCAGTTGAAATCCGTGTGAACCACATCCAAGTGCCTGGGTTTAATACCTGCCTCTATCCAGCTAATGCAGATCTTGGGAGGTAGTGGTGATGGCTCAAGTAGTGGGTTCCTGCCACCCATGTGGGAGACCGAGACTGCGTTCTTGGTTCCCAGTTTTGGCTTGGGCCCTGCTCCAGGTATGGCAGGCATTTGGGGAGTGAACCAGTAGATGGGAGCCTTCTCCCTCTGCTTGTATGTCTCTCTAATTTTCTTTTTTTAAAGAAAAGCAGAACTAAGTACAATACATTCTCAAAGATAAGATCTATTGACTAGAACATGATATGAACAGTCACAGATGCCCCAAATACGATGACCACCCTGGAGTGGCGAAGTTCAGCTCTGTCTGCAGTGCTGGGTGTCACTCAGGATGAAAGGCACAGATCTGATGTGAACATGTCAGTGCTGACATATGTTAGTTCTGGGTGGTGGTGGGTACATGATTTTTTATTGTATTGTTCCTTCCATTTAATGATAATTTCATTTTTTCATAAAAATCTCTGAATTAGCAACCATGACATAAAAAGAAATTAATTCAGAAATAATTTCACCTGTCATTTATATTTTCTATATTATTCTTACACTGCACATATACAAATGGAATTTTTAACAAAGTTCACTGTTCTGTGTACTTAATTTATGTGTAAAACTAATGACCTCTATTCAAACCATCACTGTGACTGTTGGAGGAATGACTGATGATGACTTGGAGTGGGACTTTGCTAAAAGCAAGACTAAGCTTTGTACTTCTTGGTGGGAATAAATCATAGCTTCATACAAATATACTTAGTAACAAATCAAAGAAGAAATTAAGGGTAGTAAACCTATGACCTAAATGAAAAATAGTTTAACGGGATGCTTTTCAAGGAGTGCCAGCAAATCCTTCTAGATGTACAGCAAAAACCAAAATGCTGTGTAGTATTTAACCATCAAACTGTAAGCTTTTGTGTTTATTTTTCAGCGAGAAACTTTTTTTCTTAAAAGATTCATTCATGTATGTATTTTCAAAGGCAGAGTTATAGAGAGAGGGAGAGAGGGAGAAAGGGAGAAAGGGAGAAAGGGAGAAAGAGAGAGAGAAAGAGAGAAAGAGAGAAAGAGAGAAAGAGAAAGAGAAAAAGAGAGATCCTTCAATGCTGGCTCACTCCCCAAATGGTAGCAATGGCTGGGGCTAGTCCAGGCAAATAGATGCTTGGGGCCAAAATACATGGGTCAATTTCTGCTGCTCTCCCACAAGTGCTTGGATGTTCTGTTGCTTTAACCAGGCTCATTAGCAGAGAGCAGAATGGGAAGGGAAGCAGCCAGGACTAGCACCAGTTGCTCAAATGGGATGCCGGCTTTGAAAGTGGCAGATTAACCCTTTGCGCCACAACACAGGTGCCTCAGAGGAAAACCCGAGGCTACTAAACTAAGATACCCTGGAGGCAAGAGGACTCCAGAGGCAAGAAGTAAAGAAAATATCAAAGACAGATCAAGGAGGCTGATAACTGCTTTAAAGATTAATGTTTTGCAAAAAAAAGGGAAAAGCTAGCATGGAAATCTCACTATTAATTCTTTCTCAATATTAATTCACTGAAATAAAGAAAATACTTCAAATGTGGCATTTTGTACTGGATGACCATGGGTTCATATTGTACTAAGAGCCTACTTTTGGATACCATTATGATTTTTCATAGAATATATTTTGAAATGTAGCCACATTCTTAACTATTTTTCCAGGACTGCCTTTAGACACTCTATTTCTGTCACTTCTGTTTTTTGACTCTTTCAGTCAGAAGCTTGTTTGGGCTCCTCTTACTCTCATAACGACAACAAACAGTTGTGTTTCGCCCAGTATCTACAGGACTGTCTTCACTGGGGTGATGCTAGCAATCCACAGGATCAGCTCCCAGCAAAACGGCATCTCTGGTTATTTCAGTACTGGCTAACAACTTAGGAACATACCCACATTGTTCTCCATAAAGAATCAAAGTTGAAGTACCAAGTTCTTGAGCATGTGTCCCTACAAAATGCACCATGCTGGCCCTTCCCTAGAGCAAGCGCAGCTGGAGGGAGTTTACAGAAATACTACGGGGGGCCCAGTGTGACCTCCATCACTTCTGGCGCAGATCCAAACTAAGTTACACAGTTTTCCTTTGGGGGAGACGGCACAGCAGGTGAGAAGAAGAGAGAGCCAGAGACTAGCAATGCTCCGGGTCCAGCCGCTGAACTTCACTGTAAAGTTCGGGATAGGTTACTCAGGCCCTGTAATTCAAATAAGAATTCTCACTGGGTACGTGGAAATACAGCCTCAGTAACATACATGAAGTACTTCGCAGCATCCACAAAGACGGATTTCTTCCTACAGAATATCAGGTCATAACGCAGTCTTTTGTGTCTTGATTCTACCTTTAAGTAACTCAAAAAGAACCACACCTATTGCCATGGCTCGGTCCACCATTAATTTATCTGTGTGCCTATCATGCTTGATTTCTTATGTGTTGGGTTTGCTGCCCCAAGTTATATAATCAGAGCTGATGAAGGTCCAAAATGTTATCCAGCTTCTTAGAAGAACCATTTGCAAATCATGAAAAGTATGATCTCCTTTATTTCTAAGAATCTCTAAAGGAGGCCGGCGCCGCGGCTCACTAGGCTAATCCTCCACCTTGCGGCGCCGGCACACCGGGTTCTAGTCCCGGTTGGGGCGCCGGATTCTGTCCCGGTTGCCCCTCTTCCAGGCCAGCTCTCTGCTGTGGCCAGGGAGTGCAGTGGAGGATGGCCCAGGTGCTTGGGCCCTGCACCCCATGGGAGACCAGGAGAAGCACCTGGCTCCTGCCATCGGATCAGTGCGGTGCGCCGGCCGCAGCGCGCCGGCCGCGGCGGCCATTGGAGGGTGAACCAACGGCAAAGGAAGACCTTTCTCTCTGTCTCTCTCTCTCACTGTCCACTCTGCCTGTCAAAAAAAAAAAAAAAAAAAAAAAAGAATCTCTAAAGGAGACTTTCACCACTGGTAATTTACTGCACTGATTCAGATTCCTTTTAAACAAATTGCTATTAATGTCTAAAGAATGCATTTAGTAAGTTCCTTCATCTTTATGCTGTCTATGAAAATGATGAATTGCAGGCTACCCCATAATATTCTTTAAAATATGAAAATGGCGGGGGGGGGTGTTGCAGCAGGTTAAAATGCCACTTGGAACACCTGCATCCCACCCTGGAGGGCCTGTAATCAAGTTCTGACGATGTTTCCAATGCAGCTTCCTGCTAATGTACCTGGGAGGCAACAGATGACAGCTCAGGTACTTGAGTCCCTGCCACCCGTCTGGGAGACACAAGCTTCGGTTTGGCCCAGCTCTGACTGTTGCAGGCATTTGGGGGATGAACCAGCCCACAATACAGCCTAACAGTAAGAGAGTAAATGGCTTTATGGTCCATGGTAGGGATCTAATAGCTGTTGGAACCTTGAGCAAAAAACCTTTCTGAGTGTCCCTTTCCACATCTGTAAGACTGGATGGTATTCCATTTCTTACAGAATTATTCAAAGGTTACGTTAGGTGAAATAATGGAGACATTCAACATACCGTCTTTCATCTGGCTTCATCAATAACATAAAAAGAAGGCTAAAAAGGGAATGGAGAGGGAAAAGAAAAATACATACCATGTTGACTGCATCTTGATCAAAAGGGTTCCACTCTATGTTCTGAGGATAGTGGGCCAGAACTTTGGATTTGAATGTTCTTCTCAAAGGGCTTTGGTCAAAGTTTTCACCTATAACAAATAATGATTTGTTAATATCTGTATCTCTTTTTCAAAAACATGCCATAGTTTTACACTCCTCTGATAGATACATTTACTGATAATGCTGAAATTAGTCTCCACCTCTAACAGTCTGAGCTGTAAAATCTCCAGTGGACAACTGGAAACTGTTCACAGGAGGCCTGCATTTAGAACTTCAGAGTCACAGGGCTGGTGTCGTGGTATAGATGATAAAGCCGTAGCCTGCAGTGCCAGCATCCCACATGGGTGCCAGTTCGAGTCCCAGATGTTCCACTTCCAATCCAACTCTCCTCTATGGCCTGGGAAAGCGGTGGAAGATGGCCCAAGTGCTTGGGCCTCTGTAGCCGTGTGGGAGACCCAGAAGAAGCTTCTGGCTCCTGGCTTTGGATTGGCCCAGCTCTGGCCGTTGCAGCCATCTGGAGAGTGAACCAGCAGGTGGAAGAGTTTTCCCTCTTTCCCTCTCTCTCCCTCTGTGCCTCTACCTCCCTTTAACTCTTTCAAATAAATAAATCTTAAAAAAAAAAAAAAACTTCACAGTCTGATTTTAAAATCCTAGCTGACACCAAAAAATCAAGATATGCGAATATAACCATCACTGTAATTTAATTATTGTCCTCATTTAATTATCTGGCAATTTAAAAAACTTCATATGGAAGAGCCAGTGCTGTGGCATAGAAGGTAAAGCTGTTGCCTGCAGTACCAGCATCCCATATGGGTGCTGGTTCAAGTCCCAGTTGGTCCACTTCTGATCCAGCTCTCTGCTAATATGCCTAGGAAAGCAGCAAAAGATGGCCCAAGTGCTTGGGCCCCTGCACCTGCGTGGGAGACCCAGAAAAAGCTCCTGGCTTTGGATCAGCCATTTCAAACTCCAGCCATTTCAGCCATTTGGGGAGTGAACCAACTAATGGAAGATCAATCTCTCTCTCTCTCTCTCACCCTCTCTGTAACTCTGTCTTTCATATAAAAACAGTTAATTCACAAAGACTCAATGTTCCATGCTCAGAGGTGTCAATTGTGCTGATAAATGTGACTACATACAAAAGCTGTTAATCAACAGAATTAACAGAATTAGAGGGGCTGGCGCTGTGGCGCAGCGGGTTAATGCCCTAGCCTGAAGCGCCAGCATCCCATATGTGTGCCGGTTCAAGCTCCGGCTGCCCTACTTCCAATCCAGCTCTCTGCTGTGGCCTGGAAAAGCAGTAGAAGATGGCCCAAGTCCTTGGGTCCCTGCACCCACGTGAGAGACCCCAAAGAAGCTCCTGGCTTCGGAATGGCACAGTTCCGGCTGTTGCAGCCAATTGGAGAGTAAGCCATCAGATGGAAGACCTCTCACTCTTTCTCTCTGCCTCTCCTCTCTCTGTGTAACTCTGACTTTTGAATAAATAAATAAATCTTAAAAAAAATTAGAAACGTCACTGATGAGCTGTCCACTATAACAGAACACATGAAACACACTAACCTCTTAAATACATTAAACCAAATGCATCACCTGTCAAAAATCTGGAACAATGAAAAGTAGACTGTACTTTATTATATTTAAGAAAAATTCAATAATAGGTGTCTGATAAGTTCTTTATCTCTTTGACCAAATTAATTCTCATAAAGACCCATTATCCCTAAATACCTCAGATTCATAAAATATTTTAAAGTGGTAAATCTTGAGTTCTCAACATAACATCTTACTGGTGCAGCAAGATAACCTTGGAGCAATTTCATTCTGTCTCTACTTTTAAGACTCTAATGAAGTGCAAAACATTAACTGTTACAGCTAAAGAGAAATCCTGATTACACGCACAATTAAAAATACGATAAAGCAATCTGATGAGTCATACTGTGACATCATGGTAGACTCAGTCTCTACTTTGGGTAAAAATATGCCAAGACAGATATTAAAAGACTTCTGAGTGCAAAACTTAACAGATCACAGAAGGAGGGAAAAGTCACACTCTAAAATCTCGCAACAAATACACAAACGCTTTTCTGGAATAAGGGCACATAGTTTAAGTGCATTACTGAGGCGGCCACACTGCTGCCTCAGCTGTGCTCCTGCCGAGTGACTGCTCCCCTTGGGACTCCTTGGCAAGCACCACCCACATCTCCGTTTCTTTCTACCCTGCACTTTCACCTTCTAATAGCTAAGACTCGCACCTCTGAAGGAGAAACTATCGAAGGCTTCAAAAGGGGCTGGCATCAGGGCTCACTTGGTTAATCCTCCACCTGCAGCGCTGGCATCCCTTATGGGCGCCGGGTTCTAGTCCCGGAGGCTCCTCTTCCAGTCCAGCTCTCTGCTGTGGCCTGGGAAGGCAATGGAGGATGACCCAGGTGCTTGGGCCCCTGCACCCGCATGGGAGACCAGGAGGAGGCACCTGGCTCCTGGCTTCAGATCAGCTCAGCACCGGCCGAGGTGGTCATTTGGGAAGTGAACCAACGGAAGGAAGACCTTTCTCTCTGTCTCTCTCACTGTCTATAACTCTACCCAAATAAAAAAAAAAATAAATTTTTTTAAAAAGGCTTCGTAAAACAAAGTCTGTCAATTTTTGTGCCTTGTTCCTAGGGTGTGCAAGCACCCAAAATCAACTAATCAAGATGGCTGAAGAAAAGAGTAGGGCTCAGAATAGGTGATTTCATGGGAAATAATGTCTTTAAGCAACTACTAGATTTTCATGTGAACACTAAGCATGTTTATTCATTGCTTCAAAAAAGAAAAAAGGTTACTTATCACTTCACTGGAAACATGAAGACACAAATTCCCTCCTGGTTTCTAAATGCATCTGTTGCTGACTGCTACTGAGATAGCTACAGGATACCAGGCCCCTCACCTCCACTGTCAACAACCACCATGAACGTCTGCGAAATGCAAACACCTGCAGGACTAAGGCTCAGAAGTCAGCGGAGACAGAACTCCTCCCAACACTTACCTTTTAATGAGTTCTGACCGTGTATGGTTAACATAGCAACATCATTTTCATTCACATATCAAGTTATTAACTGGACAGGAGATAAATCAGAAGAACGACAGTGCCATTCAATATAGATTTGTTCTGTTAATAAGGAATAACACATCCTCCAGGCAGAATCAATCAAAGGGAGAAAAGGAAATCACCTCCAAAAAGAATTAATTTCGCAAAAAAACCCCACAAAATAGAAATACAGAAGAAAAACAAAGCCACCACCACCAGCAGCAGCTCTCATTGCACTGCAGCAAGGGGACACCGGGAATGCCTCTGCCACACACGTGTGCAAAGCTGTCTTGGCAAATAGTGTTCTGAAGGAAGTAGGGGAGAATCAACTCTCTGGGGCTGCTGACACTGCCGCGCAGCATTTAGAAATGAGTGGATGCGACCACACCTAAACCACACAAAGAAACACGTTTTTGGGCTAGGGGCTGGGGAACAGCCCACTCTTCTCACTTGAACGCATATTTATAAACCTTTAAACTGAGAATCTCCTGCAGAAAACAATGACAAAGTCTAAAAACTTGGATTCTTAAGAAATGCAAATTACACATAAACATCTTTTACTTAAGTTAAAATTTACCTTTTAAATATACTGAAAAATACAAGGATTACAAATTTGCACAAACTATTAACACCCATGCTATAACTACATATAGATTTAATTCCAAGTAAGACTGCCAAGTACCCTACTAAATTTAAGCCACAATTAAGCCTTTCTTCCTAAGGAAATAGGAATATCTGCCAAGAGAGCTTGAAGAGTGGTGACACTTTTTTTCAAGGATTGAAGCAAATGAGGTCTTTATGAAAATTAAGATGAAGATGAGAGAACAGAAATACAAAATAATACCTACTCAGGATGTTCAAGCAAAACTGAATAAAGATATTTATTCTAATGAGCTTGGGGCAAATTAAGATAAACATTTCTAACACCCAATCCCCTTCTTCTTCTTCTTCTTTTCTTTTTTTTTTTAACTTTTACCTGAAGTCGCATTTGCAGCATCTTGGCTCTTGCCATGACGATCGGCTTCTAGCCATTGGTACAAAACTACATGATGTAACAGAAACAAAAAAGCTTTATGAACAAAGAAATAAAATCAAACCAAAAAGCAAAAATGACTTTGAAGAATGGAAAATGAGGACAAAAGATTAAACAAAAGCAATTTAACGTGAGACATTAATATCAACAGAGTATAGCTTAACACCAATGGAATACAGCTTATAAGCTATTAGTAGTAAGAAAGCAAAAAGAATTGGCAATGTTAACAAAATGTCACTTAAACATCTATAAAGTTATCTGTATGAGAAAAAGCACACATATTCTTTCAACACTAATTTCCAGGGTAATAAATATCAAGAGGAAGTAATACTTGTATAGTCAGATGTAATGAAGTATGACAGTAAGACTATGAAAGACAGCTTTTAAAATTACGTCCCAGCCACTGCACACCTTTCACAGTGGCTCATGTCCAACAGACTATACCAAATGCTGACGAGAATATGAAGTGACAGAAACTCATTCACTGCTGGTGAGACTGCAAAATGGCAGTTGGGCAGTTTCTTACAAGATTAAACACAATCTTACCTCATAATCCCCTAACCTCAGTCTCATCATGAGGAGAACATCAGACAAATTCCAAGAGGAACAGTCTATCAAATACCTGATAAACACTCATCAAAACTGTCAAAAACAACGAAAGCCTGAGAAGCTGCCAACAGCCAAGAGGAGCCTAGCAGATGTTGCAATGAATGTAACAAGGTAGACTAGATGGATCCTCTAACAGAAAAGGGACATCAAGGAAAAACTACAGAGCTCTGACCAGTATATAAGCTTCATGCACCATACTACTGTCAGATGTTAACAATAAGAAAAACTCGGCCGGCACCACAGCTCACTAGGCTAATCATCCACCTGCGGCCCCAGCACCTCAGGTTCTAGTCTCAGTTGAGGCACCGGATTCTGTCCCAGTTGCTCCTCTTCCAGTCCAGCTCTCTGCTGTGGCCCGGGAGTGCAGTGGAGGATGGCTCAAGTGCTTGGGCCCTGCACCTGCATGGGAGACCAAGAGGAAGCACCTGGCTCCTGGCTTTGGATCGTTGCAGCACGCCGGCCATAGCAGCCATTTGGGGAGTGAACCAATGGAAGGAAGACCTTTCTCTCTGTCTCTGTCTTTCACTAACTCTGCCTGTCAAAAATAAAAATTAAAAAAAGGGCCAGTGCTGTGGCTTAACAGGTAAAGCTGCTGCCTGTGGTGCCGGCATCCCATATGGGCCCTGGTTCAAGTCCCAGCTGCTCCACTTCCAACCCAGCTCTCTGCTATGGCCTGGGAAAGCAGAGAAGATGGCCCAAGTCCTAGTGCCCCTGCACTTGCCTGGGAGACCCAGAGGAAGCTCTTGGCTCCTGGCTTTGGATCGGCGCAACTCTGGCCGTTGCAGCCAACTGGGGAGTGAACCAGCAGATGGAAGACCCCCCCCCCCTCTGTTTAACTCTTTCAAATAAATAAATAAATCTTAAAAAAATGTATTATCTTCTCAAAGTCTGTAAAACTGAAAGTGCTCTAGAATAACAAATATATTTTTAAAAGTTTCCAATATCTGGGGCTGGCGCTGTGGCGTAGTGGGTAAAAGCTGCTGCCTGTGGTGCCGGCATCCCATATGGACGCCAGTTCGAGACCTGGCTGCTCCACTTCCAATCCAGCTCCCTGCTATGGCCTGGGAAAGCCTCTCATGTAAAAAAAAAAAAATATAGATATATATATATATAAGAACATGGATAATGTATAAATAAAAAAGAAACATGAATAACTGTTTAACATACTAACATGTACATGTACATGAAAAGCGCGAGCTCCAAAATTTTCCCAAGCCCCATCAAGTATTTGAAAAATGTCACAGTAAAAAGAACCTGCTACTAAGTTTGTAGAGGAAATGGGAATCAACAACAGCTCTCTCCTTGCTATGTCGGCAACAGCGGATCTGGCATTTTGGGGGCTCCATGCTGCTTCTCAATTGGTACTGGGCATAGAGACCATACTCCAACTCCAAAGTCACTGGTAGAAATTTTTTTTTTAAAGATTTATTTGTTTATTTGAAAGTCAGAGTTACACAGAGAGAGGAAAGGCAGAGAGAGAGGTTTTCCAACAGATGGTTTACTCCCCAGATGGCCGCAACGGCCAGAGCTGTGCCAATCAGAAGCCAGGAACCAGGAGCTTCTTCTGGGTCTACCACGTGGGTGCAGGGGCCCAAGGACTTGGGCCATCTTCCACTGCCTTCCCGGGCCACAGCAGAGAGCTGGAGAGGAAGAGGAGCAGCCGGGACTAGAACTGGTGCCCATATGAGATGCCTACACTTCAGGCCAGGGCGGTAACCCATTGCACCAACAGCACCAGCCCCCACTGGTAGAGATTTCTACAGCCTGTCTGTGGGGCTGCAAGAGGGGAGGGATTTGTGAACTTTGTGAAGCTGGCAGTTTCTGTCAGGCTGAGTGAGGCTGATACACATCTCCTCACACCACAGACCCCTGACCAAACTTTTCTACTCCTGGGCCCCACTGAATGGCTGTCCTCACCCTCCACTCCCACCACACGGCCTGTCTCCGCCCAGGGGCCTTCTCTACAAAATGAGGCCAAGTCTCAACAGTGTTTACTGATCTTCCTGTCCCTCAAGGATAACTGCGGAAGTAAAAGAAGTTTTGCTGATGGAAGCAATTTAAACAATGGCAAGAAAAGAGGAATTTCTTCTGCTCCCTTAATTTGTTTCTTTTCTCTCTAAATGGAAAGATAAAAAAAAAACACAAACACACAGAGGTAACAAGTGATAGAAACTTCAGTCTGTAGATTTCTCCCAGTGTCCAACAGAGAGGAGGAAATGGAAGTGGAAAACTCTGACTGAAATCCACACCAAACACGGAGCCTAAGGCAGGAAGGGGCAGTGCAGCGGCGTGAGAGCCGCCTCTGCGGCCAGGCCTGAACGGACCAGGGCAGCAGGGGTGCTGACCAGACCAACTGGGGAAAACCCAACAGCCTGGCAGCTAAGATGAAGGGTCCCCGTGACTTTCCAGGGGAGTATTTGCTTCGTGTGGAGGGTGGGCTGTCTGCATACCACAGAGACTGTCTCCACTGACGCAGAGCCTGGAAGCTTGCGCGTGCCTTCTGATGATTCTACCACTACTTATTCCACCTGAGCAGGTGACGTCTCGGTGGAGACCTGCTGAAATACGTCACCATCACACTTAGCTGACTCTAAGACAGGTGCTGTTCTGACAACTCTACACATATTCACTCCCTTCATCACCGAAGTACCCTGCCAAGTAGCTGCTACCATCATTCTCACTTTACAGATACAGAAAGCAAGGAAAAAAGGCTGACTCGCCCAAGGTCAGACAACCAGGAGACTCAAATCCAAGCAGTCAGGCTCCATTATCTGTATGTGTGAGATCACCTCAGCAAAGAGGATTTCAGGCAGGGAAACAATCAGCAAAGAAGCCCCCGGCAGATGTGAGCGGACCTCGAGAGGCCGGCAGGGAGGCCAGCGGTGTGCCTGCCCCACATCACGGATGGCAGACATGAGCGGACCTGGAGAGGCCGGCAGGGAGGCCAGCCGTGTGCCTGCCCCACATCACAGATCGCAGACGTGAGCGGACCACAAGAGGCCGGCAAGGCGGCCAGCGGTGTGCCTGCCCCACATCATGGGTGCAAGACTAGGTCAAAGAGCAACAGAAGCCAGATGACTCAAGCCTTGTAGGTCGCCGCGAGAACTTTCCATTGTACATCAGGTATCATGGGGGAGTAACTGGAGAATGTTCAACAGAGAAGGGACTTGACCTCACTTTGTTTAAAAATATCACCCTAGCAGCTGAGAACACTGTGGCAGGTAGAAGTGGAACTCCAGAGACCAGTTAGGAGGCTTAGCAGTACTGAAGGCAAGAAGGTAAAAGCAGATTAGGGAAACAGGGTGGTAAGAAGAGATCAAGTTGTTCTCCCTCCGTGGAAGGATGCACTAACTGAAACATCAAATAAGAACTCTGCACCAACTCGAAACCCTCACATGGTAAAACTCAACATTTAGATCCTTCATCCTGAGGTATATTTCATTAGGAGTATATCCAGCTTACTTAAACAAACAAACAAAAAACAAACAAACAAACAAAAACCCTGAAAGGGCATTTAAACCACAGAAGCTAAGAAAAACAGGAGAATTTCCCTGTTGAGGTCTTGTCCTAGCTAGAAAGGTTAAACTGAAATTAAGCTTTTTCCAAAGAGCCAAATGGAAGCGAGGTTGCAGCTGTCTTCCCTTTAGCAGCTAAGTGTGTCAACTGGAATGTAAGGATGCCTAGGGTTTACTTGTTTGAATTGTGTCTCATTACCAATTCTTTAACTACTTCAATATGCAGCTACCATGCTGGGAATGTTCCAACTTTTTTTTTTTTTTGGACAGGTAGTTATAAAGACAGAGAGAGAGACAGAAAAAGGTCTTCCTTCCGTTGGTTCACCCCCCAAATGGCCGCTATGGCTGGCGCGCTGCGCCAATCTGAAGCCAGGAGCCAGGTGCTTCCTCCTGGTCTCCCATGAAGTGCAGGGCCCAAGCACTTGGACCATCCTCCACTGCCCTTCCAGGCCACAGCAGAGAGCTGGACTGGAAGAGGAGCAACTGTGGCTAGAACCTGGTGCCCATATGGGATGCTGGTGCCGCAGGCAGAGGATTAACCAAGTGAGCCACAGCACCGGCCCCACCAACATCATTTTTAAATTGTTATGTACCAAGGACAAGCCTTAATCTGCTTAAGCTTCAGCACTAAGAGTTTATTGTCATATGGATGCTGGTTTAATGTTTTTCTTTTAAGACAAGAAACCCATGACTTGTATACCTGGATCATTTTTGTTGTGCTCTTCCCCATAGAGCTGTAAATGAGTGTTATCTGTTGGGTAAAACAATCTAGTTTTTGGGTATACAGGCTGTTTATTGTGGTGGTACTCTTCAATAGCTGCCTTCGAATAATTTCTCCTTTTTTGTGATTTGTGCTATTGGCAGAGCTCACTAATTCATGCCTGG